GTTTTATTTGTCAAATCAGTGTGAATAAGTTGATCACCTACAATAAGTACGGTATTGCACGTAAGTTCAAAGTTTGGTGGCCTTTATGTACATCAGTTTATTTGGTTATAGTTCCGCTTCTCCGACCGTCGAAGTGGTTGGGCACCATTCCTTTCCCCCCGTCTCATCCCAAATCCTTATCCTGACCCATTCCAAATGCTATATAGCCGTAATGGCTTGGCCCTTTCCCCCCTGATAATTCCTTCTCCTCTCTGCTTCGTTTAGTTAAAACTAAATTGTTTCTGCTTTCTCTGATGCAACTGTATAGTGTGTGGGGTAAACATTTCGTTTAGTTAAAACTAAATTGTTTCTGCTTTCTCTGATGCAACTGTATAGTGTGTGGGGTAAACATTTCGTTTAGTTAAAACTAAATTGTTTCTGCTTTCTCTGATGCAACTGTATAGTGTGTGGGGTAAACATTTCGTTTAGTTAAAACTAAATTGTTTCTGCTTTCTCTGATGCAACTATATAGTGTGTGGGGTAAACATTGCTGCTCTTCTAGAGTAAATTCTCTTTCAGTGTGAAAATTTCTTTATGTGATAGGTGTAATTATATATTTGTGTGTGTAAACAAGGGCACTATACTCGTCAAATTAGACTTATAATATGCTGACTATGTTGTGTGCCTTCAGGGTGTTATGTTGAGTCCATCTGTTACCACAATGATCTCTTGAACTATTCGTAAGAATCTTCGAAAATCTCCTTTTACCCAACATATTTTCCATCTTGTTTACCTCTTCTCCTCGTACACAACATATGTAAAATACAACATTATCTCCTATTTTCGTTAGGTTAGGTTAGGCTTGGTTGGGTTGGTTGGGTTGGTTGGGTTGGGTTGGGTTGGGTTGGGTTGGGTTGGGTTGGTTGGGTTGGGTTGGGTTGGGTTGGGTTGGGTTAGGTTGGGTTGGGTTGGGTTAGGTTGGGTTGGTTGGGTTAGGTTAAGTTCAAGAGAGTTACGATGACAAAAAGGTTTTACTTTTCTCCAGGTTTTAGACCTTGTTCAACAAATGGCCTGACTATTGCACTAGTTTAGACTGCCCTTTTGCCTTTTAAGAGGCTTTTGACATACATCTGATTCCATGTAAACATCATATTTGTAATATACTTTCAGAAGTTTTTAATAAATTACATTTCATTGGTCTGGAACTACTTGTCTTAGTAGTAGTTCATACAAATTGACCTAGACAATCATTCATTGCCAACTCCTGAGCAGGATGTCACAATTTACTGGCCTCCCTCCCTTGGTTCTATTTCCATATCTATCTTAACATTTATAATTGCTCTTTTTATCAACATGAGAACCTTGAGGTAAAAAAAAAATGTTTACTTCCCAATACCACTGTTTATTTATCATCCTGTCAACCACATCATCCATGTCAGACTGGAATTTCTTCAAGCCTTGTTACGAAATACCAATTCCGTATTCCTGACTATAATAGGTCGCCAGCAACGACCATTGTGTTAGACATGCAAGATGTCTGTTTCTGTCGTGGTCTGTATTCGACCTACAAGAGTCTATTGAGAAGCAGGAATCTCTCGATAGACCTAAGGCAGTTTCCTGAACCGAGAGGGTTTCAAACCAAGCAGGTATTAAGGGATTTTGAGATCACCGGTGATGAAGAAAGAAAGCATTTGCAAGAATTAGACTTGACAAAGGCTATGGGAACAGAGTTGATCTTCAGTGGTTACTAAGAGAGGGAGAAGTAGGCTTTGTTGTTCTCTTAATGTTATACATGAAAAGTCATGGGAAACAAGGGAACTACCAGAAAGTTGAAAACAAAATCGGTGTTGTGCCAATGTACAAGAAGGGAAACAGGAAGCTCTATAAGCCAGTATGTCATACCTTGCATATCATGAAAGGTAAAGAAACCCAGAAGAAAGACGCTGGTAGAAGATGTAGACAGTTGGGTCTATAGAGCACAACACCAATATAGGTTCAGGGATGGCAAGTCCGGCCTCCAAAACTTTAAAAAGTTCTCTAACTGGGCGACCAGAATTAGACAAGATAGAACCTACCTTGAGGTGCTTCCGGGGCTTAGCGTCCCCGCGGCATGGTCGTCGACTAGGCCTCCAAAGGCCTGGTCGAAGCACGAGTGGATTAAATATATTTGTCAGACAGCCTTCGACACGGAACCCCACAGGAGATTAGTGCACAACATAAACAAACCAAGTAGGAAATAAGGTGCTGCAGTGAATAAGGAAGTAGGTTTGATGGGAAGGAATTCACAGTGAAGGGAACACCTCAAGAGTGTTGGAATCAGCGGATATTATTGAGAAGTTTGTCACCAGACCAGTATGCCGACGTTTACCGTATGGACGTTTACAAAAGTACGCTGTCACTCAGAACATTTGTTGAACCCTTGAATAATGAGAACAAGAGGCCACAAGAGGACGAAGCGGGGGACTAAGGGGGAAGAGGGGGGAAAGAGACCCGGGTCCAGCCGGGTACCCCCCCTTCTAGTATACCTAGGAAGTAGGATGTGTATCAAAGGTTGGAAGCCAAATGCTTGGCACTAACACTTTAACCATATTCATTACACAGCCTTTATGGCCGGAACTATATTCACTACAACCTTCACATTATAATCATCTTTACCACAAACTTATCTTCACCACACACAGCCTTGTGGAGATTCGTATCTTGGCATAATAAATAAGGATTTTCCTTGTTTCCACGAACCACCAACATCTCATTTGTAGAGTTTTAAAGTTCTGCACATACATGTTCCTCCATATGGGGCCGGCTCCTTTTGACATTTTTTTTACTCTATCACATCTATATAAATGTTATTACGGTATCCAGACTTCACTGCCCACGTCATCTCATTTTGTGTCGTAATTTAAACCTAGTAATCTTTGCATTTTGTATGGTTCCTGGAGGAGGGGGTTTGATGTTGACCAAACCACACACTAGAAGGTGAAGGGACGACGACGTTTCGGTCCGTCCTGGACCATTCTCAAGTCGATTGTGAGACCATTCTCACAATCGACTTGAGAATGGTCCAGGACGGACCGAAACGTCGTCGTCCCTACACCTTCTAGTGTGTGCTCTGGTCAACTTACTTTAGTCTCGTTATTGTGACTCATCGCCTGCACAGGGGGTTTGATAATTCTATTCCATCTTCATTCTGATCTAAGGTGTGTTGTGGTTTTGGGATTGTTAAGTCCAATTTGAACATTGTAATGGTATTGTGGAGTGTGGTAGTTCTTGTGGTATTGGAGGGAGTGGTTTATGCGGGCTTAAATGCTCAACGTTTAAGGGTAATTTTAGGTAGTTCACTATTGTCTCCCACACTCACTCATTGTCTTCTCATCTCTTACTTGTTGTATCCTGTTTCTTTGTTTCTAAATAATTTTCTGAAATTTTAGAGTTGTTTTCCTTCTATATAATGCTCTGTTCCTATTATGTGAAAACCTAAGTTCTCAAGATCATAGCTTTTCCTATCATCAGTTTGGCGCGTGTGTATTTTTGAATGGACAGATCTGCAATTTGTTTAAAGATGACATGCTTTATTCTTTAGCGTTGATTTGTATGCGCCAATCTGTATACAAATATATAGTATTGTATGCAGAAAAACCACATGTGAAAAATAGAAAATGCTTAACGCGTTTTCGGCTAATTCGCCTTCATCAGAGCAAAGTAGAATCATTTTGTGTTCATTCTACTTTGCTCTGATGAAGGCGAATTAGCCGAATACGCGTTAAGCATTCTCTATTTTTCTCATGTGGGTTTTTCTGCATACTTGGATCAGTGTTTTTGTGATCATTGTTGCATAGTATTGTATTTGTAAGTTGTGTATTTGTGTCGTATTTTCCATTAAGTTTCCAACACTTCTTTTACAACGTGTCTACCTGAGTGTTCACACTCGTTTTCCTTGTGTGTTTATTATTTGTGCCTGCAGAATCGAGCTATTAGCTCTTGGAACCCGCCTTTCTATTTTATTTTTCCTCTACTACATAAATTTCTCTCTTAACATCCACATCCACAGAAAGCAGCCCGTAGCAGCTCTCTAACTCCCAGGTACCTATTTACTGCTAGGTGAACAGGGGTATTAGGGGGTGAAAGAAACTCTGCCCGGGAATCGAACCCGGGCTCTTAGGACTATGACCCGCGAGCGCTGTCTACTCAGCCTCCAAGCTCCCGCAACGCCCGTGTGTGTGTGCTCACCTAGTTGTGCTTGCGGGGGTTGAGCTCTGGCTCTTTGGTCCCGCCTCTCAACTGTCAATCAACTGGTGTACAGGTTCCTAAGCCTATTAGGCTCTATCATATCACACTTGAAACTGTGTATGGAGTCTGCCTCCAGCACATCACTTCCTAATGCATTCCATTTGTCAACTACTGTGTGTGTGAGTGAGTGAGTGAGTGAGTGAGTGAGTGAGCGAGCGAGCGAGCGAGCGAGCGAGCGAGCATATACCCACCAAGGTGAGGGTTAGGTTCAGTATCCGTCCAGGAACCCTGTAGTCTTAGTTATCAGTTATCAAATGTAGTAGTTCCCCCCCCCCTTCCCCTCCTCCCCTTCCCCCCCCCTTCCCACTTCCCCCCCCTTCCCCTCCCTTCCCCTCCCTTCCCCCCCCTTCCCCCCTCCCCTTCCCCCCCCCCCCCTCTCAGGCGTCTCATCATGCCTGTTCTTCAAACTGGCTTTTACCTCATTGCACTTCATCATTATTCTCGCAGTATATTCTTCCTTTCATCCTTGAGACGCATTTGGGTCCCCCAGCTTCCAAGCCCTGTTCTCTCTGCTCTTATCTCATGAATATCTCATCTTTGTCTAATGTCAATATCTCTAACAATCTTAGGCAATACGTATTTATGTACCTATATGTAGTTATGTGCCCTTAATGCCTTCTGTCAAGTGTTGTGAGGTGAGGCTTCCTCAGACTTTCCTTATATAGTAGACCTTTTAGTTCCAGAACCAGTCTTGTGGCAAACCTCTGAACTTTCTCTATATTTTATTTCTTTAGGTTGGGCCTCCACGCTGGGGCTGCATATCCTAGAACTGGTCTCACGTAAGTAATGCACAATGCTCTGAAAGTTTCCTTGTCCAGGTTTCTGTTGACGAAGACTATGATTTTCGGCAGAACTCTATACAGCGATTAAGTAAATTGTTGGCATGTGTCTCCGGTATTAAGTCAGAGTTATTTGTCTGACATTTGATGGTTAATAGAGATTTGTATTGTGCTTGTGAACCTTCACCATCCGTCACCGTCTTAGTGTCTTGTATTCGCGTAAGTTAAAATGTAGTTTTCATTTCTTGGGCCACATTCGTTATAATTTGTTTAGCCCTCTTGTATTCAGAATCTTTTCTGCAGCTTTGGATTATATACGAGCGTGAGGAATTAGTCGTCCTCTGGTAAGATACATTAATAAGAGAACGAGGCCAAACACTGGACCTTGCTGTACCCTGCTAATCAAACTCCTCAGCTCCGACTTGTCACTCGATCTTTCATGACTAAAGCTTTGATCTTAACCAATTCACCACACTTGTAGTTATCCTAGCTACACACAGAGATCACAATAACGTGATGCATCAAATGAACAAATCCACAAGGGCCGTGACGAGGATTCGAATCTGCGCCCGGGAGCATCCCAGACACTGCCTTAATCGACTGAGCTACGACAGGGTAAAAGGGTTGAAACCGAAGTTCTACTGAACTTAATGGATCCCGTAGCCTCTCCGAGGCACAAACCAGGCTTTTACACAACCCCTCCCCCTCCCTGCACGTGGAGGCCCTTGTGGATTTGTTTATCCTAGCTAGTTTCTGGCTAGATTATACCTATCCTAGCTATAATCAACCAGGTATCAACCAGTTTGTCCAATGTGTATAGGAGCCTTTTGTGTGGTGCAGAGCTTTTGGTCACTCTAGGAGTATGCAGTCGGCCGTGTTTTCTTTTCTACCTAAAAGTCGGTTGTTTTGTCATATAACTAGATATTCAGTCTGGCAGGTCAAGGGGTAAATCCATGCCGGGGCTTTGATGCCAATTCTGTCTTGTTGGTTGACATGAAATGACCGAGCCAGAAATTGTCTGGTTCGAAGAAAATCTGTATGTGCTTTTTTTTTCTATTATGAATATTATGCATTATTGGAAGGAAGATAGAAGATTACCAATCAGGAAGGGATAATACAAGTTAACTCCTGGGAAGATTATAATGGAACAATTCGTTCAGGGACACACCATTGCACTATAAATATACCTGCACCAGGTACAAATGCACAGTAGCAAAAGTCTGATGTATTCCAACGATGAGAGTCCGGTGTAGATCACATCTTCAGCCCATGGTTTGATGGTCACTGCCTCTGACACAGGACTGGAGGGGGGGTTATTTTGAGGTTATCTTGAGATGATTTCGGGGCTTTAGTGTCCCTGCGGCCCGGTCCTTGACCAGGCCTCCACCCCCAGGAAGCAGCCCGTGACAGCTGACTAACACCCAGGTACCTATTTTACTGCTAGGTAACAGGGGCATAGGGTGAAAGAAACTCTGCCCATTGTTTCTCGCCGGCGCCCGGGCTCGAACCCGGGACCACCGGATCACAAGTCCAGTGTGCTGTCCGCTCGGCCGACCAGCTTCCAGGGGGGGGTGGGGATGCTGTGAAAAAAGTTGCATAAGTGTTTTTATTACCGGACTTCTGATCACCCATGTCATTCTCATTCATTTTATACTCATTAGGCGTTTATATAAGTTTTCACCTCGTTAGTCTTGACTCTTTATGGTCAGGATCGGCAGCATTGTATGAGGTGTCATCCCTACTCCTTATGGTCGCTTCACGCGTCCCGGCGCCACAGCATCTGACAGTGTTCAGTCACGATGAATAGTGGTCCTAAATATAAACTGCACCGCAGAGAACAACTCTGCGCCCCCCTCCAGGGACTTTATCACATGTTATCACTCTGACACACCAGCTAAGATGATCCCAGAAAGATAATGGAGACACCTGTAACTATTATATTGGCGCGCAATCTGGGCATGTGTGTGTGGGGGGGGGGGGGTTATCTTGAGGTTATCTTGAGATGATTTCGGGGCTTTAGTGTCCCTGCGGCCCGGTCCTCGACCAGGCCTCCACCCCCAGGAAGCAGCCCGTGAAGCTGACTAACACCCAGGTACCTATTTTACTGCTAGGTAACATGAGCATAGGGTGAAAGAAACTCTGCCCATTGTTTCTCGCCGGCGCCCGGGATCGATCCCGGGACCACCGGATCACAAGTCCAGTATGCTGTCCGCTCGGCCGATCGGCTCCCCGGGGGGGGGAGGGAATTCACCCTCCCCCCACCCCTCTTCTTGATTCACACCCCTTCCTGATTCCCCCTTCCTGATTCCCCCTTCCTGATTCCCCCTTCCTGATTCCCCCTTCCTGATTCCCCCTTCCTGATTCCCCCTTCCTGATTCCCCCTTCCTGATTCCCCCTTCCTGATGGGCGAAGGTAACATAAGAATAAAGGCTATTTCATAAAGTGTTGGCATTGGTGGGTTAAGGGAGCCGGTCGGCCGAGCGGACAGCACGCTGGACTTGTGATCCTGTGGTCCTGGGTTCGATCCCAGGCGCCGGCGAGAAACAATGGGCAGAGTTTCTTTCACCCTATGCCCCTCTTACCTAGCAGTAAAATAGGTACCTGGGTGTTAGTCAGCTGTCACGGGCTGCTTCCTGGGGGTGGAGGCCTGGTCGAGGACCGGGCCGCGGGGACACTAAAAGCCCCGAAATCATCTCAAGATAACCTCAAGATTATTGAGGAGCAGATGGAGTCCTCTGTACCCAATTGTTACGACTCGTGAACGTTTCCTAGATCTTGAGAGCTAAAGGCATTACTTATGGACAGGACCCAAGAGCTGAAACAGGACCTTGGAGCTGAAATAGATTGTGTTGCAGATCATTGCTAAAAATGATAATGCTAAGGTTGGACATTATTGCTACCTAGGATGCTAAACAGTCGTGAACACCACCTTCCTGCAACTCTTTAAATTAACTTGGGGCGAACCCCCGTCCGCCCACCCTCCAGCCCGTCCTCACACTAGGCTGGTTAAAGCAGCGGCCGTCCTCCTCAGACGCATTCATCAATTTTAACATACTGTGTATTAAAAATTGGTTTGTGCTCATATATAAATTAATATTATTATATATAAAATTTTTATGTATAGTTAGGCGTAGGTTAGGTTAGGTGTTTAGGTTTTGTTAGCGGATATTTGTATTTAAAGTTCGTGGGTGAAGCATTTACAGCAACCCGTCCTCGATTCAAGTCCATTCCATCCAGCGGTCGACCCCACAGACGTATTCATAAATTTTTACATGCTGTTCATTCAAAACGGAAATTTTCTCAAATGTAAATTAATATTATAATACATTAGCATATTGTGCATATATAGGCATAGGTTAGGTTAGGTTAGATTAGGTGTTTAGGTTCTGTTGGCGATTATTTGTAATTGTAGTACGTGGGTGAAGCATTTAGAGCGTTGTGGTTCAAACAAAATTCGTCAGTGAAGCACTTGTTCCGGAAGTGTTCGGACGTCATCAGTTGTGAGTCGTGTGTAAACCACTTTTCACTCATAAACAGCTGGGGTTTGGCGGCTGGAGTAACAAGCTTGGAACTTTGTATGCGAGAACGGGTTGGTTAAAATTGATGAATGCGTCTGCGGAGGACGGCCGCTGCTTTAACCAGCTTAGTGTGAGGACGGGTTGCACCCTTGTATCTCCATCTCCAAAGTCGATATTAGAGCCGGAGAACCTTTGGAACCTCGTACGCCCAATATATTCTGAGCCTGAAGCTACCTTCTGCTTCTGAGAATTTTAGCAGGCCAGATTTTATTGATAAATATCTTGTTCAAGTACTAGCACGGGTTAAATGACGGAAAGTCCTGCCTAAATACTTTTCTAGAGTAGCATGTCTAGATTATTGGGTTGACTGCACATTCAATGACTGCCAGAAAACGATTGACACAGCACTGCATAAAAGGATCTTATAAATACCGAGAAAAATGCTTGGATGAGTTTGATTGATTGATTGATAAAGATTAAGCCACCTCAGAGGAGGCACGGGCATGAATAGCCCTCAATTAGAGGCTGTTTGAAGCCATTACCAGTACTAGTAGCTGGTACTGTTGATCACTGGATGAATGGGGTCTGGAAAGTGGGACTGTCGGAAGTATAGTCTGGAAAGGAAGCTTCGGCGTGACAGAGAGTAGAGCCAAGGCTCAACCCAGCAAGGGCGAGAATTGTTGGATAGATAACAGAATCAATCACATCGCACATAGCACCAGGGAGGGGGGGGGGGTGCCAAGAGGGCCAAACAGCAGCCATAAGTCCTTGTTTTAATATTTCATTACAGCATCACCCAAGGGGGCGATTATTTGTAGTACGTGGGTGAAGCATTTATAAACCCGTCCTCGACTCAAGTCCATTACATCCAGCGGTCGACCCCACAGACGCATTCATAAATTTTAACATGCTGTTCATTCAAAACGGGAATTTTCGCAAGTATAAATTAATATTATAATATATTAGCATATTGTGCATATATAGGTATAGGATAGGTTAGGTAATTAGGTGTTTAGGTTCTGTTGGCGATTATTTGTATTTGTAGTACGTGGGTGAAGCATTTACAGCGTTGTGGTTCGAACACAAGTCGTCAGTGAAGCACTTGTTCCGGAAGTGTTCGAACGTCATCAGTTGTGAGTCGTGTGTAAACCGCTTTTCATTCATAAACAGCTGGGGTTTGGCGGGTGCATGGAATGGTCTTTTGGCCTTTGTTTGGAGGACGGGCTGGTGTCCATAGTGACAGGCGTTAACCAATAACGACTCAAGGACTTCAGCTATGTTATGACGTCACCGAGCTGGTTGTGAATGGAAGGACCTGGGGGGGGGGGGGTGGAGGCGGGTGTTTGTTTACAGCCTGTGGTGTGGCGGGCTCGGCCCCCCCCCTCCACCCCTCCCCCCCAGAGGCACAGCGAACAATCGATGGTAGATTTATTGTTGTTGTTGTTGTTATTATTATTATTATTATTATTATTATTATTATTA